GTTTGCAGAATTCCCCCTACTATTCTAGAATCGGAAGCCGCGAATGCAATAAGAAGTATGAGGAGAGGAACTGCACCAGGCCCGGATCATATCTCAGCAGATTTGCTCCGTGCTGGAAATACCGCCTTACACACTTTACTCGCAAGACATTTCAACCACTATGTCAAGTTAAAAAAGATTCCAGAACAATGGAAAGGATCTAAAACAGTTCTTCTATTCAAGAAAGGAGAGCGTGAGGACATCGCTAACTACCGACCAATAAGTCTTCTCTCGGTGATTTACAAAACATTCACGAAAATACTGCTTAATCGCATGGAAAGAACTTTGGATGAATACCAGCCAGTGGAGCAAACTGGATTCATAGAAGGAACTTTTCATGCATGGACAACATACAAGCAGTCACCCAGCTCATCGAGAGGTGTCACGAGTACCACCTTCCCTTGGTTCTTATTTTCGTTGATTACAGAAAGGCATTCGACTCAGTGGAGATCAACGCTGTCCTGAATGCCCTCACGCAGGCTGGAGTTCTCCCTGCATATATCCATTTACTCGAGCAGTGTTTTTCGAACACATCAACAACTATACAGCTGGTTCGACCGTAAATTGAAGATTCATGAGACAACCCAATAATTAAAGTGGCTACCCCAGCTACTGCTCTCGAAATCTAGCCGTCTCAGCGTAGAGGCAGAGCAAAGTGCTCACCTTGATGACGTAAGTGCTGATGGAACTCGCCCTGGCACCAGTCTCATTTCCATCGTTGAGCACTTTTTCGTGCCACTCGCCTTCCAACCAGGGTCAAGCGTGCGTTGAGGAATCCTCGACATGTCACAGGGGGGGGGTCGTATTGGCCCGCTGGGGGGAAGAGATCGGGCCCGATTGATGCAGTAGGATCATCACCGTCGGAGGACAAACATCAATCGATCGATGCCAGGCCAGAGTATTTCCAATAACAATTGATTCCGCCCACACAAAATCTTCGTGATTTAGAGGTGTCCGCTTAGCAATTCTTAGTTACTTCAGTGTTTTATCACCACACAAGTTAAAGAATCCGAAATTCGCACGTTTTCCAAGGGATATTTTATCTTTCAAGTGAGTCCTCGAATCTGAAGGGATGTGAAGCACACGGCGCATCCCAGAGTGGGCCCAGTTGGTTGCGCGCGCTTCAAGCTACGGCTCTCTGGAGAAAGAATCTCAATTCAGGAAAAATCAAGAGGATTCTGAAAGGGTTCATGTGAAATTACAGGGAGGAGTACACTATTCAACAAGAAACGCAGCCTTCA